GCTGCTCTGAGGACACCCAGGAGGTACAAATGGAGGCCAAGGACTTGGACCCTCCTCAGTTAGCGGTGATTGTAGCCGCCGGGTTCTGCCGCCCATCTTCCTGGCGCCATTGCCTTATAAGCGGCGGGGGCGGATTGGGTGGGCGACTGTTCTTTCCTGTCTATTCTGTGTTATCATCATTGGTTTTCAATTCAGGATCCACCACGCCACCCCCTTTCTATCCCCACCTGCGGATCTGTGAGGCATGCCAAGTGGGGCTGTCTCTGCCCCAGCTGCCGTCCTGCCTGCCTCGGGAGTTTCCCTGCTCTGAGGGAACATTGCTGCAAGGCCGCCATCTGCCTGGCTGGCCAGCCTTCTCCGTGCTCCACACACATGGTATGCAGGGGGGCTGTGGGGGGCTTTTTCCCACCCCTGCATTGGCCGAGGATCTGGGGTTACCAGCAGCACCCCCACCCCAGGTCTCTCTGCCTTGAGCACTTGGAGCTGGGACGTATGAACTTATCTGGCCTGATCCGGACTTCTAAAAAAACAAAACAAAACAAAAAACAAACAAACAAACAAACAAAAACGGCCTTAAAGTTATTAAGAACTATAAAAAGGGGCTTTGATAAAAATTTTTATGTTGACTGAGAAATGAGGGAAAATGTAGGAGACTTAAATAATAAAGAGGGAAAAAGAAAAGGAAATTTGTCTAAGATTGTCTAAAAAAATCAGAGGAATGAACTAAAAGTATATAAAAAAGGTTATAGAGAGTTAAAGCAAGTTGTAGAAGGTCAGAAAAGAGGTTGTTAAAAGAGAAAAATGTAAACTGTTTGCTATGGTTTCTCATGTCTACAAATAGTAAATTTTAAAAATGGTAATATAAGTTAAAATTTTAACCATATTAAGCTAATTCTGTTTAAAAAGTCCTGTTTATTTCTCAAGTAATTTATGTATACTTGTTTTAAAATGTTCTATTTCCTGGTATAACCTAAGTTCTGTTACAAGCATGTTAAGCAAAGGGTGCAAGTTACGGTCATTTTGTAGCCAGCCACATGGCAAACTGGTCACATGGCTGCCTGGTAGCCATTTTGCTAAAGTTGAAAAAGGATACTTAAACTGCCATCTTGACTAAAGGTGACCGCATGGAAATTAGAGGTACCATCTTAGAAACAAGTTTTTCAGTTAAGATTTAAAATGTTAATGCTTCTATATATTACAGAAAGACACAGAAAGACATTAAGGAAATTTAAATTTCTTTTTAAAACCAGTTTTTTTTTAATGTTTATTGTTTTTTAAATGTTTGTTTTTATTAATGTTTGTACATAAAGAGCTTCAATTTAGAATCATTTTTAACCAAAGCCTGACAATGTAAAGTTCTTGTTTTATAAAAGCTGCTAATCTATTATAAGATGTTACAGCTTATGTTTTCAGAAGTTAAGTTTAGGGTGTTGGTGATACGCCTTTAATCCCAGCACTTGGGAGGCAGAGGCAGATGGATCTTTGTGAGTTCAAGGCCTGCCTGGTCTGGCAGATGGAATTCCAGGACAGGGTCCAAAGCCACAGAAAAACCCTGTCTCATGCAAACAGCTAAAATGTGTACATGTAGCTACTGTTTAAGGACTATAAGGTAACCCTATGCAGTCTTAAATTCAGCTGTGCTAAGTTTCAAATATCTTACTAAGTTAAAACCAGTTACAGTCGGGTTGGAAATTAATTACAGAAATAAGACCTTACCTAGCCATCTATATGCTTCTTGTGTGCTTAAGGCAAGTAACTAAAACAGACAAACAGGACCTCTAATGCTTCAGAGATCTTCAGAATATGGCATTTAAATTGTTATCTTTAAAGTTTATAGTGTCAGACTGCCAGATCTTGACAGTGACCCAAAGTCTCCAAAGAAGATTAGAAGGCACCTCAGTTCCTGCACCTGGACCAGTGCGCGAGATGCTCAGATGTGATACCTGCCACCTGCCAGGACCTGGCCAAGACTGTGGACAAAGCTGCTGGACACTGGAAAATTGATTGCACCCCCTTTGCCTAGACAAGACAAGGTCAGTCTTTTCCATGTCCCTCTTTCTCAGAAAGGAAAAAAACCTCTCACCTTATAGGCCTGGCGAAGATTGCTGTTCTTTGAGACATCTGCCTCCAGCGGTAATGGAGAAGCTTGGGTATGGCTAACTGTATATGGACTGGCTTCTGTCACTTTTTAGTAGATTCAGATAAAATATACCCTTCTCAGATCTCTGAAATATTAATGGTTGTCAACTTGGCAGCATTAGACAGTCAGATCCACTATAGAATCTAGTCAGCATGTTAGCTGATAAAATAGTGACTATCTACTGTTCAGGCACAAGCTCAAAGTTTTTAGGTTTATTTTGGTTGTCATCTAAGTAAAAACTTAAAGGGCTTTTCATCAGGCCAAAGGCACCTCTGTCCAATCCATTCCTGGCTGTCTGGACAGAAGAAAAATGTACATGCTTCTAGCCCAAATCTGTAGTTATTGCTAGGACTCAAAATTACAAATATGTTCCTGCTGTTTGAACAGATCTAGAATATCTGCTTTTTCTGCACTGTGGGCTTCAGTAAATAAGTTTTAACCTCTGTTCGCCCCAAAGTCAGCAGGAAGTAGTTTGGGAAAGAATTCACCGCCCATTTTCCCTGGTTAAAATGCTAAGTCAGGAGGGACTCCTTTGCATGGGGATGCCAATATCTCTCGCTCCCCGATGGGGACACTAGAGAGACAGCAATTCTATGATTGGAATTTCCAAAAAAAAAAAAAAAAACTGGGGGAATGAAGGGACTAGCTCCCCTTTTGGCAGCCATAGTGGCCAAACACGTGCTTCTATGACCTTGTCCTAGACACTAGAAAGTCAGATGCCTGCCTCATGACAAGGAACCAATCAGAAGTTAGCTGGTGGCGCTATGCTTTACGACCCTGCGTGTGCTTTACGGACAAGTGCACAGCAATGACGCACAAAGCGTAGCAACCACCCTGGGAGGGCCTATGCGCCATAACAACCAGTTGGCCAATCAACACAGGGCAAGCCCTCCAAGCCTGGAGGCACACCAATCGTGAGCCTGTGCGTACCCCTAGGTACCCCTTATGCTGTCCTATGAGGCCCTAGGAGCTGTCTTTTGCGAGCCATCCGCCATGGCAGGTGGGTGAGAGACCCGAGCTAACATGGGTTTAGCTCGTTAAATTACAATAAAGCCTCATGCAGTTTGCAGCAAGCTCTCGAATCCACCTGGTGATTGGGGTGACCACAGTCATGGCCTGGGACCTCGGATACCTGAGTTTTCTGGGGGTCTAACACTCTGACTCCCGAGTGCTGGGATTAAAGGCGTGCACCACCAACACCCAGTAATAACAGATAATTTAATCACTTTCGGATATAAGTGCATGGCCAGGATTGAAAGATCCTGCAATCTAAGAAAGGCCAGTGGGTGGCACCAGAGCACACCCAGTCTTTGCCTGGAGGCGGCTGTTACCAGCAAGACAAAGCACCCTTTTTTACAGGACCCTCTCAAGCAAGATGGCTTCCACTTACAGGCATTAAGTGGCCAGTGTAGTCCAGTCAGTCACGTGGAAAGAGGAAATGTCACCAGAAGAACTAACTACGTTGATCAGGTTGGCCCATGACCATACCTGTGAGTCATTTAATTGCTACTTGATAGAAGGCCCAGGCCCCCCTGTGTCATGGTGTTTATCACACCAACAGAATAGCAAACTAAAACAGAAATCCACTAGACCAACTATTCAAAGTAAAAACATTCTCTCTCTCTAGGAAATGAAGGACAAGAGCCCTGATAATTCCGAGTCAAGAGTGAAGGGACCAGCTCCCCATTTCGGCAGCCATAACAGCCAAACACGTATTTGTCTGACCTTGTCTTAGTCACTAAGGTCAGATGCCTGCCCCTTTTGGCAGCCATGACAGTAACACATGCTTTTCTGACCTTGCCTTGGTCACTAGAGGCTAGGTGCCTGCCTCATGGCAAGGAACCAATCAGAAGTTAGCTGGTGGCACTATGCTTTATGGCTCTGGGTGTGCTTTACCGACAAGTGCACAGCAATGACGTAGAGCATAGCAACCACCCTGGGAGGGCCTATGGGCCATAACAACCAGTTGACCAATCAACACAGGGCAAGCCCTCCAAGCCTGGAGGCACACCAATCGTGAGCCTGTGCGTACCCCTAGACACTCCCCTTACGCTGCCCTACAAGATCTCTGTGCAGCCCCTTCGAGCTGTCTTTGCTAGCCATCCACCATGGCGGGTGGTTGAAAGACCTGAGCTAATATGGGGTTAGCTTGTTAAACAACAATAAAGCCTCATGCAGTTTGCAGCAAGCGTTCGAATCTGCCTGGTGATTGGTGTGACCACGGTCCTGGGCTGAGACCCCGGAGGCCTGAGTTTTCCGGGGGTCTAACAAAGAGCTGAAAAAAAAATCCACTGAGTATATATAGAGAGACTTTTTTTTTTTTGAGACAGATTCTCACTATGTAGCCCCAACTGCCTGCCTCTGCCTCCTGACTCTTGCCATCTGCCTCCTGCCTCCTGCCTCCTGCCTCTGTTGGGATTAAAGGTGTGTGCCATAATGCCTGACTAAACAGGCTATTCATATTTAACAAGCTAAACTTTCATGTCATAGTGTTGGAAACTAACAAGAGATACCAGAGACACAAGGAAGATTAATGATCCCCCAAGGGCCAGATATCTGCATCTCCAGGGCCTGGCACATTGGAAATGCCCTAGCAGATGTGTTCAAGAATGAGTGACTGCTAAGTGAGCTGATGGCACATCCTCACCACCCAGCCTGGACATTCCTAACCATTGCACTGGTCAAGCTCCTGGAAATTCACCCCTTAAAGGTGTCATCTGCAATACTAGGAATTCAGTTGGCTGGAAGCACCCAGAGAGCAGCTGTCTTGAGAAGTCATTCCGAAAGGGAGGTGCCTAGCTAGGCCCCCCAGCCTACCATATGGTTCCGGCCAGCAGTTGACTATCACTGTGATTACCGGGCAAACTGAGGCCATGCTGTAGTGTGGGTTTGCAATGGCCCTAAAGTTGGCCTTTACTCTCACTTTGGTGCCAGTAAAAGAGGCTCAAACCATTAACAGGTAAGCGAGCAAGTGCATTTATGTTCCTGGAGGTATACTTTTTTGTTGTTTTTTTTTGAGACAGGGACTGGCACTCACTCTTGTAGACCAGGCTGGTCTTAAACTCACAGAGATCCACCTGCCTCTGCCTCTGGAGTGCTGGGATTAAAGGCGTGCACCACCAACACCTGGCTGGAGGTATAATCTAAAAGGGAAGACTTCTTGGAGATTTACAGATTCAATAAAATGCTTTTCTAAATGTGAATGCTGGGCTGAGGACACAGCTTCAAGGCATTACATTTGACTAGCTTGCACCAGGCCTCAGCCAGAAGCAGCTGTCTGTCAAGCAAATGTGGTGCATATGTACCATGGAATAGTAGTATTCAGCCTTAGTAAAGAAGGAAATCCAACTATTCATGACAGGAAGGAAGAACCTAGAATACATTATGCTGAGTCAATTAAGCCTGTCCACGTGGACAAATGGCAGGATTCTAATAATAAAAATTATCTAGTAGTCAAATTGCTTAGAATCCCTGAGTAATCACCGAGCCTGGCACAGAAACTGTAGAGTGGTTCTTCAGTGGAAACAAAGTTTCCTGGCAGAGAATCTGCAGAGCCTTTCTTCAGTGGAAACAAAGTTTCAGTTAAGTACCTCAAACAGTTTGTTTTTTTAAAGATTTATTTATTATGCATATAGTGTTCTGCCTACATGTATACCTCTTGAAGGCCAGAGAGAGCACCAGATCTCATTATAGATGGTTGTGAGCCACCATGTGGTTGCTGGGAATTGTACTTAGGACCTCTGGAAGAGAAGGCAGTGCTCTTATCCTCTGAGCCATTTCTCTAGCCGGTACCATGAACAGTTCTGCACATCAGTTGCCATAACACCCTGCCTTTAACTGACAGCAAAGATACCATAGGTTTCAGGTGATGGGTTGTTATTGAAAACAACTAATGGTTTCAGGTGATGGGTTGTTATTGAAAACAACAAAACCAAAACATAAGGAAATTCTGGATGTTGATGGAGGTGGTTTGGGGTTCCAGGACTAGATTTTATGCAGAAAATCACCAGTATGCATGCATTAAATACTTTTTGTATATCAGTCATGCCTCAGTAAGGTTTAACTCACACACAAAAGGAAAGCCATATAATAAATTTGATAGTAAAGATACTATGATGTCCTATTTATAGTTTGAACAAATTCATATAAAAATTTGAGGTGCCTAATTGCAAATACTGAAATGTTGATTGAAATTTCAGATGGAAATTCATAGGACTAAATATAAAGAACTTCTTGAAGAATGACAAGGGTGACAGACTTACACTGTCCAATGGAAAGGCTGGGAAAGAGCAGTTTCTCGGGTTCCAAACACCAAGCAGAAACAAAGCAAACAGAATTCACTGTCAAGACATGATGCTCAGGGGAACAGCATGGAGCAGGGGGTTGGGAAACCCTCACACTGGCAGTCAGTTGATTTTTGTTGTGGGTGACAAAGCCACTTGATGGGAAAAGGATAGCTTTTCAACATTGTCTAGATGACACTCATACATATACACACACATGCATGCGCACACACAGTTAAGAGAGGGAGAGTTTCCTTTGGCTTGCAGAGGGCATACAGTCTATCATGCCAATCTGATAGCACTGAAACTGTTTGTGTGTCAAGAACTTTTTTAAAAAATAGAAGTGGTAGCCAATATCTTAAACTATAAGGAATGCAAACAATAATAAAAATAACACAAAGGGGCTGGTTTAGCAGAGACCTAAATGGAGGGCTAGGTGGAAAACACCAGCTCTGCATAACGCATTCACTGCTGCAGAAAGGTTTGTTGGAGCACATTCTCAACAAGGATGAACCTCAAAAACATTTGCTTATTGATGTGAGCCAGACACAAAAGGCA